GGGTTCATCTATCAGCAGGGCAACCCAAGCATTCACGCTTCCAAGCGCACGAAAGAGTTCTTCGCTTAGCAAGACGTCAACGTCTTGGATTGGCCATCTAAGTCTCCAGATCTTAACCCTATTGAAAATCTCTGGTCGATTATGAGACCACCCCGAGCCGACTACACTGGAAACTCAGACCCTGAGTTCAGCGACGACGATGACCTCGACCCTGCTCTATTTGACGAGGATCAAGCCGTCAGAGAAACCCTGGGCGAGATTGGAGCACCTAGAGCCGATCCGTCTGAGGGCTCCTCATCGAGCGAGTCCTCCGAGAGCAGCTCCACAGCGTTAGATGCTGATAGAGACGTCGAAATGACCCAGGCAAATCTTCCTATTGTTAAGACTCCCGCTGCCACGAAGCAGGATGAGCGCAAACGAGTTGAGAAGCTGAAGGCCAAGCGCCACAAGCCGAGCTCGAGATCACTTCGCCTCATGGAAGCAAAAGCCAAGGCGTTCCTGATCAAAACCATCGACGACCAACATGTGCTCATGGTCAAGGATAAGTCTACTGCGTTTGGGATTTTTCAGACGATCTGTAGCAAGTACGAAGGTGCTGCCGAACACGGTGACCTGTACTATATCCAGTCATACATCATGGCAATGAAGTATGAAGAAGGCACTGACGTGACGGCGTTGTCTTTGAGGTGGAGCAAGCCATGAAAGCCACTGCCGAAGCAACCGACAACGTCATGAGTGATCAGCAAAAGTCTCTCTACCTGTACCATGCGCTACCAGAAGAATGGAAGTCCGACATGACTGTCTGGAAAGGCACGAGGAAGTACATCTCGTACGAAGACCTCAAGCGCAACATTGAGACCAAGGTGCATCATGAACTCGCTCGAAACCGCTATGTGCTCAAGCAAGGGACCCCCGAATCCAGAGAGACTCGTGCTGAAAAGGCAATGAAAGCTACAATCCCTGAGCCAGCACCTGCGCCTGCAGATCCAAAAGAGGAGTCCGCGTTAGTGTCATCCATGAATTGCACCTTCTGCCTCCGCAACAACCATGACACGGTTGTTTGCTGTGCTCAATTTGCTTTTCATTCTTCTTATCACTTCCACCATGGCAAGCCGCCCTAGCACCGACACTGCCCTACCTACTGTCTTCCCAGCCTTCTTCAAGTGGTGCCAAGCACACCTTCGCGCCCGCGGTTGGGGGCGCCTCGATGAAGTTGCGGCTCGTTACCGGAGAGCATGGGTTCATGTTTGACAAGGTAATGCCTCAACCGCAGAGGCAATCGAGCGGCTGCTGGATGCTGTGCCCAAATCTCGCATCACTAAGTCCCGCCTCATTGAGGCAGCTGCTTTGGGGGACAACGCTGGTGAGGCGGAATGGGTCCTATCAACTGGTACCAACCTGCGGGGACTACCTACGTATCAAATGCGGACCATCCTGGCGGATCGTCGAATCAATGGCCGCGTTCAATTCCTAACCTCCTGGGAGGGAGCCGGCGGTGAACCTCCCTTCAAAACGAAATACGCATGTACAGAAGACGCCAACGGCGCCGAGTGGAGCGCGCCTATGTGGAAGCTGAAGCTACAGAAGAATAAACAAGTATCAACAGGCTCAAGAAAACATTTTTTTTCATAAGTAATAAAACGTTTGTTTCTGTTGCACCTCTTGTCTTTCGTGTAAGCTTCAACCGTTGAAACGCACAGCAACACACCAAGCCATCCGCAAGAGCAGTACAGGGCCGAAACCCTTCAACTTGCTCCGCACAAGCTCAGCACGCTACCGGCGAATCCCGATGAAGCACTGCCTGTCGAGGTACATAGGAGTAGTCTGCATGTCCAGGTAGAACGTAGTGGTAGTCTGCATGTCGAACCGCTCAGTGTCCATGGCGCAGGGGCGCTGCCGTGTCGGGAATCACGGCCGAGGCACGTCACGCCCAGGCGCTTGACGCTTAGAATGGAAATTGCTGAATGAGCTGCCTGCTCCTCGCTACCAGGGGCAGTCAGCTCATTGGCTAAATGTCGGGGACGCGGCTGCGGAATGGATGGTCCGTAGCCACGTCCCACTATCTGTGCAGAGTGTGGCAGAGTCTGCCGCAGATCGCATGCCAGAGCAGCCAGCATGCGCACGATCTGTGTGGCACGCAACCGACACGTATGCTGGCTACACCTGGCAGCGTGATACTACTATTTTGACCATCGAAACCATCAAGCGCAGTACTTTGCACACGTTCAGCTGGCGTTGTATCGGCACCTATTGTTTCTAGCATATCATTGATTTGTCATCGTTATCGTGTTAAAGATCGGAATTAGTCTTCTGCCAGAGTTGGTCCTAATGGGGATGTACCACGCCTTGGCAGGAAGCTCGCGACTGTAGGCCCGTTACTGTAGGAGGGGCCAACCAGAACTCGAGTTTGCACAGTCCTTTCCGTCAATGTAACACGAAAGGTTGATCATATGACATACTCGTAGCTGGTGCTAGGAGCGCGCTCGCGATCCGAACCATGGAATACTGGCTGACGGCTTCTGCATCGACACCGAAGTTATGATTCCTGTAAGCAGTTTGGTTGAGTTCCCATGCGCTCATCCTATAAAAACTT